CTGGCACCAAAAACAAAAAAAATTAGTTAGGAATACTACCGTCCTGGGACCCCCCCTCCCCGTGCGCAGAGGTTCAGGGCAGTCCTTTTTTTTGGGGGGGATCAGGGGGGTGCAGGGGAGATCGGGGGACAGGATCAGCCGCTCTGACCCTGCCTCTGTCCTCTCCGCAGCCCGGGGAGGGGGTCTGGGCGGCCCATGGAGCCGGGGCTGCTGCGGCCGGCGCCGGTGAGCGAGGTCATCGTCCTGCATTACAACTACACGGGCAAGCTCCGCGGGGCGCGCTACCAGCCCGGCGCGGGCCTGCGCGCCGACGCGGCCGTGTGCCTGGCCGTGTGCGCCGTCATCGTGCTGGAGAACCTGGCGGTGCTGCTGGTGCTGGGGCGTCACCCGCGCTTCCAGGCGCCCATGTTCCTGCTCCTGGGGAGCCTCACGCTGTCCGATCTGCTGGCCGGGGCCGCCTACGCCACCAACATCCTGCTGTCGGGGCCCCTCACGCTGCGGCTGTCGCCCGCGCTCTGGTTCGCCCGGGAAGGCGGCGTGTTCGTGGCGCTGGCCGCGTCGGTGCTGAGTCTGCTGGCGATCGCCCTGGAGCGCCACCTGACCATGGCGCGCCGGGGTCCCGCGCCCGCCGCGGCCGCCGGCAGGGGGCGCACGCTGGCGCTGGCGGCCGCCGCCTGGGGCGCGTCGCTGCTGCTGGGGCTGCTGCCCGCGCTCGGCTGGAACTGCCTGGGCCGCCTGGAGACCTGCTCCACCGTGCTGCCGCTCTACGCCAAGGCCTACGTCCTCTTCTGCGTGCTGGCCTTCCTGGCCATCCTGGGGGCCATCTGCGCGCTCTACACGCGCATCTACTGCCAGGTGCGCGCCAACGCGCGGCGCCTGCGCACTGCGCGGCCCGGGGCCTCGGCGGCGGCGGCGGCGGCGGCGGCGGCAGCGGCGGCGGAGGCGGCGGCGGCGGCTCGCGCGGCCCGGGTGCACCGTTCGCTGACGCTCCTACACATGCTAACGCCATGCTGCTAGTTTCACACTATGCTGGATGAAGCTGTTCCTCCTGCTGCTGCTCGACATGTATTGCCCGGTGCGCTCCTGCCCCATGCTCTTGCAGGCCGACCTTTCCTGGTCCCTGTCCATGGTCAATTCTTTT